AAGAGACAAAATGTAGAGATGGGGGGAAAAAAAAAGTGAAATTATCCTTCTGGTCACAAGTAGAGATGAGAGGCAGAGTGCTGTTTCTGTGCTCAGCCAGTGGCTCAGGTGCCTGATGGAGAAAAGGTTTCTGTAGCTCAAGCCTTTGTTTTCCGAATTGAGGGCAGAGTTTCTTGTCTGTCTGATCTTACTGACTTAGATGTGAATAGCATGTTCCACCAGGCTCGAAATGCCGAAACGGAAGGCGTTGAACCTGGATAATTCATCTCTTCAGGGTTCCCTAGTCCAGTTTTCAGTCCTGCAGTTGTAGATGTCATTCATGTTTTAAAATCTTGCTGCAGTGTTAATTCAGCTCTAAATGATGCCTCCTCAGAGTGCTGTGAGTCATAGTTTCGTGGTGCTTGAGGCTATAGCCAGCAAGCTTGAGGTGTAGCAGGTAAGTTCCTCTTTGGAAGTGGGAACTGTATCAGGCTGTCCCTTTCATTTGCTGTATTTTCTTCCTTGGTAACACAAAGGCTGGAATAAGCCCATGTGTTTGCCCCTCAGTTCTTCCAGGCTCAGCCACTAGAGATGCTGGAGCAGGGATGAGGCGGTCAGGCTCCTGGGAATAGTGTGACTGCTTCCAGTTCTTGTGTGGTGTGATGTTTGGTGCATCCAGGGATGATTCCCAAGGAACGCACAGCTCGTTCTGTAATTCTGTTGCTTCCTTTAAGGATCTGTTCCTAATATAGTTTTTCAGTTTCCTTTGTCTTGTTTTTCGGTTGTTATTCCTTACTCCCATTGTTCTTTTACAGGGCTGTGTCAAACTATACAAAATCCATTACTGTTGTATGGTTTTACAAAATATGTTTTCAGCTACATTTAAATTTTTTCATTCCCTTTACCATTTGTTTGTGGTTTGATTATTTTTTTAATGGCAGGATAATATTTCTTGATGTATTTACAATCTTCCTCTAACCAGTCTGAGTGGTGCATATTCATTTTGTTGTAACTCTTCTGCTGCTTCCATAATTTTTTGTATTTGACTGCATTTTAATCCCTTTCCCCTTCTCCAGCTTTTGCAGGTATTTAAGTTTTGAGCTGTCTGTTGTAAGCTGTTGTCTATTATGTTGTTAGTCATCTTTTTTTGAGGAGTTGTAATGGGTTATTTATGCCTCCTATATATCTGTGGAACTCGCTGCGTATAGTTTTTCCACAAAAGTAGATTTTAATTCTGTTCTTGCCTGTTTCTGAATTCTTTTTCCCAACATGTACTTATTTGAAACCCAGGAGACTTGAAGTCTTGTGTTGTACAGGTTCTTGGTCAGCAGTCTTTGTTATTTTTCAGTTCCATACCCTTCTCTATTAGCAAATGTTATTTAGAATTTATTTCCCTTTCTATGGATTTACCATTACTTGCATTCTGCAACTCCCCCTTCCTGCCATAGACTCTTTGAGTATTAGTTTTTATTAAAGAAATTGGAGGCTTATGATTCAGCTAGTGCTTGCGAATGTGTAAAATCTGATTTGAATTTTTGATTCTTCTGTAGGTTTGCGTAATCTTGATCAAGTTGCCGAACTTTTGTCAGAGGGTGCTGTGCAAGTCGAGCACAAACTAAAGCACTTTGAATTCAGGCAATCTTTCTTAGTCTTGATTGCTCACCTGTAAAATAGGGTGAACATCTCTGAAGTCTTCCTTTTTTTTTTAATGATTATGCAGGTAAACCTGCTAACAGGGCTTCTAAATGAATCTTTTATTCCCATTGTAAAATGTAGGGCTTAATCACTTACCAAGCATCCACTACTATAAATCCATAAACCATAGGCTAGAACTGATATATCACCTTTTTTTTTGTAACTTATAAACTTTCAGGGAATTGTGAAGAGAGATGAAGTCGTGTTCAAGGCTGCCAGAAGCCGCAGAATCCCAATCCTGATGGTGACATCTGGAGGCTACCAGAAGAGGACAGCGCGGATTATTGCCGATTCCATCCTCAATTTGCACAACCTGGGGCTTATTGACAAGGAGCTAGCAACCAGTGGAGCTGGAAATCCCAAGGTAGAACAGATGATTAGAGACTCTGCTAAAGACTTAACCAACTTGTCACTGCAATGACAAGTTACTAAATTTTAGGAAACTGCTTCCTGGTTTAGGAGCTGGAAGCCTTCATCATTGTCAGGGTTAATACAGCATATTTTAAAAAGACTCAACTTGCCAGTAAAATAACACAGTAGAGAGAATCTGCAGTCACAGAGTAACTGTGTCTAACTTCTGAAGCTATCTTGAGCAGAGGCAACAAATCCTTTTAAGCTAATTGAGACATATACTCCAGGGTACTGTCTTTCAGTTTATAATATTACTGTAGAAAGCTTTAATTTCTGCTCTTATTGTTATGGGTAGTCTTCTGTGTTGAAGCAACTATGCAGTTGTTACCCAAAGACTGTCCCAGACCTATTTCAGGTGATGTGGTTTGGACTGCGGTGCGAGAAATATGGACTAAACCTATTGGCGTTTTTTTTAGATACTGCATTTTATTTATTGCTTTTTTATTGAAATATTGTTATAAAAAGAGTTCTGTGCAGGCTTCAACTGTCAGTTTAATACTAAAGCTAAGTGCAATACTATAAAAACCAGTTCAGTTGGTAGGCTTTTAAGCCATATCCTATTAGAACAACAGTTCAGTAATTTATGTTTTATTCCTGTTGTTCATAGTGATGTAAATCGTACTCAAAAACACGTTGAGAAATAAATTATGAAATGCCTTTGGCACCATATGCAAATGAGCCATAAGGGCTCAGAATTAACAGTCTGGTTTTTGCCTCTCGTAAAATGAGGCCTGCATATAAAAGGCAGTAGTTACTATGCGTTGTAAATCACAGAGTAAAGAAACTACGATAAAACGAAAATTAATTGTAGAGTTCTGAGAATTCTTGCAGAAAATATATAGAAATATAGGGTGTCTTTTATTATTGCCAGCTTGTCGTGTGTAACACAGTGAAGAGGAAGTTTTGGGTTCGATTCCCCCCATCCCCAGCTAGTGCTGTGTCTTTCACTTGCTGAAAGAGTAGCGGTACTTAGAGTTGCAGTCGTAGTTGGTAACCAGATTGCTCATATTTACAGATAAAAATACAGTGAAATTTCTACATTAAGTTAATGTGCTGACTTTATATGGGAGCTTCTAGGAGGACTTGGGAACAAAAGAGTGTATTCAGAAGCAACTCAGTACACTAACTATGAAGTTTGGCTTTATTGAAGTTGGTGTAGTTTGCATTAGGTACAGTTTGTAGCATTGGGTTGTAAACATACTCAACTGTATGTTTTGCAAGAGTTTTTTAACTTCCAAATACTCACTGGTTTGTAGTGAAGTTTCCTGTCATGTTTAGGTTTGAGCCTTTCTATGAAGGAACACCAACGTTTTCCTTGTAGTAGAATTGGTGTGTAAGCTATTTAAGGGATGTTTAATTCTAATTAGAATACTTACCTCACCTAGTGTTAATTTTTAGATTGATGGGGTTCGTTAATTGTAAGAACTTGCACAATTGCTATAAATATCTGCTTTAAGAGATTTGACATATTGCACTAATCTTGAGTTGCAACACTGTTGTTAAAAGCACTTTTAAATTTCTTACTAGAAGGACCATCAGAGTACGACTAATGTTGAGATTTATTTTTTCTATACTGTCTGATGTTACTGAAAGATGTTATTCTTTCCTATGATTTTTATAAAATTATAAAATACATTTCTATAAACTAAAACTGTCATAGTACCATATAGTCTTTTCCAAAACATTTTCTGTTTGTGTTAACATGTTTATATTATTTTCCCTTGGTGGAGATTAAAATGATGTTGAACAATACTGACTGACTTTTTCTTTTCACTTCACATGTATCTTGGCTGTCAAAAACTTCGAATGGAAAAATTTATTGAAAGACAAGAAGATGGTTTTTTACATTTAAAATGTAACTGAAACTGCAGCGAGTCTTAAGGGTGAATAGTACAAGGTTTGTCAACAGCAGATGACTTCCCCGAGAGTTAATGTGTTGAGCTCTTAAAGTGAGCTTGGAAGTTTTGAATCCATGTACTTTTTAAGATGTCGTTATAAGAGGTTAAAATCACTTTCTGATTCCAAGTTATGTTCCATTACCTGTATTGTAACTCCTTTTTTAAGTATTTTATTTTTACAGGTATTAAACTGGAAACTAAGCTTCTGCTAAGGCTGCAGTAGTTTGGTAGAGGTCATTTATAAATCAGTATCTTTTCAGAGAGAACTAAATGTTTGCAGAAAAGCCATCTAGCTCTCAGACTCATCTGTAAAGTTTATGATTGTTAAGCAATAGTCCTGTTGACTGCATTTTCAGTGCTCATTAGAAAGTTAGAAATGTGAAACAGATGACTCCTTCGTATTTTCCAAAAATCTTAACTTAGTGTAATATGAGTGGTGGTAAATGGGGCTAAATCCGGCTGGAGGCCGGTCACCAGTGGGGTTCCCCAGGGCTCAGTGCTGGGTCCAGTTCTGTTTAACATCTTTATCAATGACCTGGATGAGGGGATTGAATGTACCCTCAGTAAGTTTGCGGACGACACCAAGCTGGGAGCTGTGTTGATCTGACAGCCGGCACGCAGTGTAGAACTTGGCATTAAAAGCACTGGATATTGTGGTCGTAGTCTTGCACTGACTAAATTTTAGGTTTAGATGGTAATGCCGTCCTCCTTCACACTGAAGGTATGACTTGTTTGTTTGACTTTTTTTCTTTTTTAAACACCCTGTGTTGTGAATTCCCAGACTTGGATTTAAGAAAAATTAGAATAAAATCGAAGAAGTGCTGTAGTCACACAGCTGTGACTGGGAATGGGGGGAAGACACTACAAATATTAATTGGTAGACAGCCTGTTGTGTGCAGGACAGGTACTGCTTATGTTTGGTGGGTAGTAAGTGTCCATGCTCTTAAATTCCCTACTCCTTGCTGCTTTTCACAGCTTGAGGAACCTGATGACCCTGAAACCGTTCCCTGAAACCTTCTGGTCCTGCTACCAGAGTCAGTTGTTCAGCGGTGTTTCTGCCTCCTCTTACACATACAACAAGGCACGCAGTTCTTTTCAGGGCTGGCTGCGTATGTTTTTTGTGGTCTGTGAAGTGACACTTAGGAATTTCTTGTACTTTACAAATTGTACTAGACGATTGTGTCCTACATGCAGCATAGGCGCTTTGGGGAGGACACGCTGACAAATCCAGAAGTTATGAAGTTAGTAATCTTGGATCTAGACTTTGCTCACTCTGTGCTGCCAGGAGTTGAAGGAGCTTGCTGAGTTCAGAAAGCTGCAGGGTCTAGGATCCTGGTGCTGTGTGCTATGCCAGTTTTTGAATAATTGAAAACATTCTTCCAAGAAAACTGCAATCCCTTGATGAAGAAGAAAATTCACCTGCTGTCTTTGCCCAGTGGAGGATGATCTTCCTTATACTCCCTGAAAATGCAGAGCATATGAGAGGCAATAATAAAGGGCCTAATCCCAAGAGATGCTGTGTCCTGAACTTGCCTTGAATTTAGCATGGATTGTGTATTCCCCACCCATTCCAGAGGAAAGCTTGCAAATTTTTCAGTATGTGCCAGCCTCTAGCTTAGACTTTACATAGGTGTGAATTTCAGATATTTAGCCTTTTCTTAATCCTAATGCTTTCGGTAATCTCTTAGATTTCCCATTCAGTGCTCGTTTAATATTCCCTTCTTTGTCTTACCCTTTGTGCAGGCCGTTTTGCTGCAGCCAGTCACTTTTTACTACAGGTCAGTAGAATTAATTTCTTCAAAGAAGAGATCGTGTTTTGGTAAGCTGAATGAAAAACTAGTTCCTGTTACTAGGCCTGATTCTCTCCTGGGCGTACCATCGCAGTGAGAACAGGAGGTTTGTTTTGCTCAGTGCCTGACTCAAGGCAAGTCCAGTACCAACCTGTAGCAGATGATCCTTAGGACAAAGCAAATAACTCCAGCCCTGCTCTCCTACTGCCTTTTAGATGCGCAAGAATGCGATGTGCTGCACGTAGCACTGACTGACTTCCTGAAACTGAATTCAGAATATTGTGGTAAGACAAAACTGCTGTTTTGATTGAAAAGATTGAATATGCACAGGAAACTATTGTGGTGGGGCTGTGGTTCTGACCTCTGTCCCTACAGCTTACCTGAGATTACACTTCTGGTTGGAGATGAATTAGTACCTAATTATGAAAAGACTGCCAGTAGTGTTAGGCGCATCTTGTGTTACCAGTCCTGCAGTATTACATTTTTGCCAGTGCAGTGATCTGTGGAGCCATGGCACACTTCCATAAATCATTTCTTCCTTCAAAAGTAACATTACGGGTAATTAGTTCAACTATTTGTTGTCAGATGTAAGGGTAGTTATGTATTTCACTAATATGATCCAAACTCTTGTTTTATTTTGCACTTGAGAGTAGACATCCTTTGAGTTTGACTGGAACTGATTATCTTTATTCTGGAAATGCATGTTCGATTTGCATTTAATAAAAAAAAAAAAGAGAGAAGAAAAAAAATGTATTCAAGGCCAGCCTAAAATAACTCATCTTGTCTTTATAGCATCTTAAATTTAGCCCTTAGTAGAGTTACAACAGATTGCAATGCTTTGCAAGAGCAGAGGTGTCTCCTTTCTTTCGCTTTTGATACCTAAGAAAGATTGTAATTAATCCTATTAGCCAAAAGCTTGTCATTTGTTCTGTGGTTGTTTTTTTTTGCCTGTGTATTTGCTACAGGTACAGGAGAGGGCAAAATAGACTCAAGGTCTGTTTAGGTCTGTAGCAGAGATGAGAGAAGGAAACCGAACGTTCCATAAACAAAAAGCTGCAGCCTGCTCTCTGCTTTCCTTGCCTGTGACGTTGCAGCTGCAGCCAGCAAGAGCCTCTTTGCTTTCTGTGTGAATCAAAAAGACTCTAATTGTATGCTAGCTTCTCTCTCTCTTCATTCTTTGCTAATCTTTCCTGTGACAACCGTCCACCAAAAGTGTCACCAAGGAACGTTCTGCTTTTTCGTGCAGGTGACCAGGACTTTCTCTGCGTGGACACTGTTCTCCAGCTGCGGTACGGCTTCCCGCTGACCAATTTTTCACTTTGTAGAGGCCTCCAGCTGCTTAGAAATCCTCAGCATAAGGACTTCGTGGCATTTGGGCTTACTTGTTTTACTCCGTGGCTACAGTAGAGTTTGGAACTTGTTTAGC